CGCACCAAGCACATTAGTGTGAGACATGAGTTAGCGCGAGACCTGGTCCAGAGGGGTACCATTCAGATGACCTACTGTCCGTCCACGGAGATGACAGCAGACATCCTGACCAAACCTCTACCAAGAGATCGCTTCCAGAACCTGCGAAGCATGATGGGACTTGTTGAAATTTAGCATGCTAGATTGAGAAGGGGTGTTGGATGGTCAAGCAATCTAGATGTAAATTTCAAAGGGGAAGGGCCTGCAACACAAACTAACTTGTTTGCTTGTTTGTTTACATGCTGACCAATTAGAAAGTTTGTTGTTCCCGGGTAGGGAGGCTCCACCCCTGTTTCCGGCCCTCCTGGCCATGAGGTGATTCAACCACCATTGTTGGTCACCATTCCTGCACACGCTCTTCACCTGGAAAGATGTAAAGGTTCCATGCCGGCCCACTGAGCCTGGAGACCCCTCCAGCCACGTGGGGCCAGAACAGAAGAACATTGTATTCGCTATTTTTATTCCTGTATCTACCTGAAACCTTCTAAATGCTTATCTTCGTGAGTACAATATAGATTTCTTTCTTTTATACAAAAAGGACTCCTGAGTGTTATTCTTGAGTGCTAGTGTTTGGTGAGGGGCGGGTACAAAGGGAAACTTCTAGCTAATTCTGCCTGAACCGGCTGGCACTTCTGCTGTGCATTTGTACTGGAATTCAGTACAGTACCAGAACTCTCAACACTCTTGAAAGGTTTCTCTTCCCTCCAAAAGCTGACATGTTCCAAGAATGCTACCATTTCAGCTACAAGAAGCAACTGCTCAAAGCCTCAATACTGGAAATAGATGGGAGCCATGACAGTAACCTTTTCAGGCTCTCAAGTTCTGCATTCCTTTAAATCTTGGGAGTTCCTCCAAAAGCTGACATGTTCCAAGAATGCTACCATTTCAGCTACAAGAAGCAACTGCTCAAAGCCTCAATACTGGAAATAGATGGGAGCCATGACAGTAACCTTTTCAGACTCTCAAGCTCTCTTTTGTGGAAATTTATGTCTCCCAACGGAAGAGGTGAGCAGACAGGCATGCTTCGGGGTAATGAAATAATCTGCTTTTCTACAGCTTTCAAGCTTCAGCTTTATTCAATCCATGCCAATCTGGCGGAGTTCCTTTCTTCTTTTTTAAAAGGACCGATCTCACCACGTCAGAGTTCCCACTGCATGGTAGGGATGTATCTCGGCTAAGGTCACCCCAGGTCAGGGTCAACGATCAGGACTTAATCAAAGAAGCCGATTACAGGGCAGGGGGGTAACGGGGGGGAGGACTGCATTGTGTGGAGCGCTCAGGAAGAAAAAGTGGCAGGTATAATAACACTGTGTCCACAGGAGACAGAGCAATGGAGCCGTGAATGCTGCAGAACTAAATAGATTGCAAATTAGCAGCAAGTGTTCCCTTCATTTAAGAGATCCATGCAGTGGGTGTTTCTTTTTTTTTTAATTATTCCGGGAAAAAAGAGACTTCTTCCCACTCTCCATCTGCAAAACAATTCTCTTCCAAGTTTCAGATATATTTAATGAAGCGGGTATTAGGGGGAAACAGCAGGTCGGGAGGGGAAACGCCTACATTTGAAAATGACAGCCCCTCAAGAGAGGAACGTGTTCCAACTCCTGTTCATTAGATCACATTCCTGAAGAAGAACATGTGCTAGGATGCCATTGTGTGACCCACTTGCGTGAGTATTCTCTTCTTTTGAGCGCCCGCTGGTAGGCTGCTTTGCGAGATCGGCTGTGCATCCAGCCGCAAGACCCAAGAGGAAATTGATCGGATCAAACCAACGCTTATGGGATCCTCTTACTCTCAAAAAAAGAGAGATATGGACTGTTGTCACTTATCAGTTTTAGGAGATGCTATGGAGACGAACGCAAAGCGTCGAGGCAGGCTTTGCCTAGGGCACCTTTGGGGAGGTGGAACAACAAGTAGGTGGGAAGGTGGCCACGGAGGTCCTGAACCAAGACCGACAGGACCATCATGATAAAGATTTGAGGACAAGATGCCCAGGTCAACCATTTCCCAGGAGGAACCTGGGGGCTCTGTTTGAATCAACTCCAATTGAATGGAGAGGGGGACTAATAGATGACAAGATAGCCTGTGTGTTTTCCGTCCTGCCTTTTCTAGATCTACGTGTCTTTCGGTCCTTGAGCTCGGTCTCAGAGGCAGCTTGCCTTGGAAACAAATAGATGGGCACTTCCTGCCCATTAGATCCCTAATGCAATGTCTGAGGCAAGCGCTACCTAGAGATGGAGGTCCCTTTAGCAGCAGCGTTCTTGCTCGTAAGAAATGGGGAGGGGTTTTGGATGTAGGTAGATAGGAGATCCCAATAGCACTCAGTAAAGGCTATCACTCTGAAAGGCTGATAAAGGGGGAGGATTTCTATGACATGTCATATTTTTTTCTGCAAGTGTAGGTTGCAGAGAAAACGTGAAATGTCATAGAAATCCCCCCCAATCAAAGTATAAGGGACATTTCAAAATTTTTCTTAAAAAAGAGGTGTGAGTTAAACAAGATGCATGACATTTTTTAAATTTTAATTTGAGAGTCAAACTCAAGAGTTTGGGAAGTGCAGCTTGAATTCAGATGCTTAGGTACCCAAGTGAAATGGTGGAGATCTCACTGACGAAGTGCTGCTGGTTAATAAGTCAACACTTGTATTCTTTGCTGTGTGCCAGACCATGTAACTGATGCATGACAAGGAATATGAGCAGCGACACCTTTCCTAGCAGCCACGTGTGGCTGAGATTTATGCCACTGTGTTTACACCCTGGCATATGTGAGCCACAGGATTCTAGCCCTTGAGCCTGATGGAACTGCAATTCCCAGAACCCGCCGGAATGCCAAACGTTAGCTCTGTATAGAACTGGCTGTGACTTCAGTCCCAAGAAACACATGGAGGAGGAGTTTGGGAAATAACCCACCCTGCAGCACGGGCATTTTTCCAGGGGACCCCTGGTGATTCAGTTTTAAGAAAGACTCATCTCTATATAGAGACAGTGGTTGGCATAAGATCAGGAACTGCTTCCTTCTTCTCCCGGGGACACGGACCCCCACATGGACCTGTTTTAGGGCTCGGATGAGATTTTTGTATTTCTCCTGGAAACCAGAAGCGATGGGAAGTCATTTCCCAGTTTGACAAACAAGGGTGCTGAGGGGTGCATTGGGAACCAAGGTGTGTGAGAGGGGAGGGCTACAGGCACCCACACCTTGCCTACCCCAGCTGTAGAAGGAGCTGCCTCATCTCGAGCTTCCAGGGAATGATGGGCTTCCATCTGCCAGTCATTTGTGCTATTCTGTACAGGTCCTGTTTTCTGCAGAAGGAATTTTCTCTCTGACAGCTCAGTGATGCTCTCGGCTTCCACTGCCCTCGCCTTCCTTGGCAAACTCTTCTGCCAGTTTTCAAGAGGAGAGATTTGGAGGGGTTGCCACATACTGTAATTTAAAGCATGATTTGAATGCCATATTAAGACGTCAGTCACAGACGTTCCCTACCATCAGATGGAGGGAACTGTCAATATGGCGGCTTATAATTCCAGCATTTTCTTCTCCACCAAATAGTGCTATGTCATAGAAAGATTCATTCAGAGGCTTTCATCCTGTGAGATATAGGTTTTGTTTTCAATGCCTGCAACAGAGGAGAAACCAAGCCGAAAGAAAAAAATTAGGAAAAAACCTAATCAAAAGAAGGGAGGGAGGGAGGAAAGAAAAGCCAAATATTCATTTAATACGATATATTTGGTATGCCTCTCAAAGTTGGGGGGGGGTAACTGGTTCCAAATAACTAGTTAGTTCCCTTTTTGCAATAATTCCATCACGATTAGCATTACAAAGCAATGACTTTGGCTCAATGGGTTGGAGTGTCTGGCAGAACCAGAGGTGAGCAGTTTAAATCCCCCAGAGTGCCTTCTGAGAGAAGAGGGAGCCAAGATCCCCCCCGGAAGGAAAGTACATCTTGGCCTCTCCCAGGCTTCTCATAGCCACAGCGGGAGCTCTGGCCCAATCTTGCCAAAAGACAAGGTTTCCTGCCTTCCTGTTCACAAAGGAGCCTTCTCCGAAACCAGCAGCTGCTCCCCCTGCCGCCAAAATCTGGTTTCTCCATTTCACCAGAAGTGGCTTCCCTTGGAGACATCTGACCACAAGTGTTTCCATTAAGCACAGTCTCTGATTCCATCTAGTGGTCAATCCTGTTACTACGCCTTGGGAACATGTATTTCTGGGTCATTCATTCATTCATTCAGGCAGCGGATAAGTGAAACCATGGCTAGGGCAGTCCTACTGTAATGTGCAGGAATGTGACTCAAAGTTACCTTGGATGGATGATGGTGGTGGAGGTAGCTGGGCAGCTTTTAGCTGATCTTTTTCAATGTGAAGGGCAGTCATCAGAAAACATCCTCCTCCGAGGGCACCAACGAACGTACATACAACAAGGCTGTATTGCAGGCTTCGGAAGTCCCAGATGTAGGTGTGGTCTGCCTGCTGGGCTTTGATTGCATCAGCAATCTGGGGATCAAACAATGTACGCTCCCGTCAGTTATGGATGGCCGCAACCATCAGTCTTGGGCAGAATCTCTTGATGTTCGAGGGGCAAACTACATGTTACACACTTCAGGGGGCAAAATGTTCCAAAGATGTCATCTCGGAAGATCTCCGTGCTTGAGCAACCAAATAGGCAAGCAAGGTTTGTGAGCATCTCCCAACCCTGAAACAAAGCCGGCTAATCCGCAGGCTGCAAGGTGAAAAAGCTCCTGCTGAGACCATCAGATGTCTTTCAGCATGCAAGAAATCCCGCTCCCAATTATGTGTAGTATGTAACATATAGTTTGACGCTAAGTCCTTGCTTTGAAACCACAGGCCTAAGGGAGCAAAAACATGCAAATTTCTCTAACTTCATACGAGGTGCAGAACTTGGAGAAGTTAAATCTTTTGACTACAACTCCCAGAGTTTTTGGCAGATGACTGACACAAAGAAGCCTAGGTACCTTCTGGTCACCACTCAGGCTAATGGATTGACATACGAGCTTTCCCGCATCCACCCCCCCCCCCGAATTCAGAGAGGGGATTTCTCTAGACTCCATGTGACTGGACTTAGGCTCTCTGCAGGCCAGATGAGATCTACAAGCCCAGACATTCTGCTACTTTTACAAAATGAGATGACTTGGTGATATTTCTAACTCTTCTTCCCCAAGAGACAACCCAACAACCCAATTCATTTCCTGGACCGTGATTCTTAAGGGGGTTACCTGGAGAGAGATACAAGAATATTTACTAGAAATTGGGCCTCTCCAGGGGTGTAACATGCCCTTCCACTGGAGGTGGCATCAGACTCCATCCCTCCTGGCATTTTCAGAAAACTGGCTAAGGCAGAACGTTAAAAAGAGGCATTCTTGCACGGAGGGAACCATTACAGACCGATCCTGGATCGTCACTAGATCGTCACTGTTTTCCTCTTCAGGTCTTTATTCATTCGTTAGGTTGCGTTACTGATTTTGTATTGTCATTTTCGTCGATGGTTTGTTATTTATGTTTTCCCTTTCGCGCACCGCCCAGAGGAGCGCTGCTTGGCCACTAAGTTGGGAGGTATCGAAATTAAGTAGATAAACCAGCGCAACTCACAATTCCGATGAGGTAGGGGCTTCCAGCATCGCCCAGCAAATGGCTGAGGAAAATCTGCAGCGACATGGCGGTCGATTGGCAACTTGGCTTGACGACATACTGAAAGGGCGAGAGAAGATGATTTGAAGCGGGAGAGAAAAATCAGGCCATCGAGAGCAGCTGGTGGGGACTGGGGGCGTCAATTCCCCAGAAAGCGGAAAACTAGCTCCCAGGCTGTCACCGGACTTCCATCTCTCAGGAATCCTACCTGTAGATTCTGGGAGTTGTAGTTCAACAACACAAGGGGGGGAAGGACCTCAAGATTGGGGAGGACTCGCTTTAAAAAGTGGGCTCCCTGTGTAAGACCACCAGAGAAAGAGAGTCTAAGGCTGCCTAATCATATGTTGCTTCTGGGATCAGGTCAAAACCTCGTTTTGATAGTTGTCCCATTCTCTCATCATCTCCATGGACTACTACTCCCTTGTTCTTCATCATAGCCCATGCTGACCCTTAGGGGGTATTTAATTCCCCCTTCCTGCTCCTGTCTCCCCGATGCCCTCAGTATTAGGGAAAGCAAGATTTGTGCATTTTTATGCAGAACATAACCTGATAACACATATTTGTGTGGCAACTCTCTCCTAATATACATATTTTATTTTAATTTTTTTGGCATATGACTCTCCCACCAGGGAAAGCATGATTTGTGCATTTTTATGCAGAACATAGTCTGATAACACATATTTATAGGAAACTCTCTCCAAATATACATATTTTATTTAATTTTTTTGGCATATGACTCTCCCACGATACCCGTGTTTGTGTACAGAATAATATATTGCAAAATACGGAGAACGGTGCAGTATGAAAAATCACTGTATTCTGTACCAAATACTGGTGCAGGAAAATTAAATCAAGACGACGACCGAACAACACGTTCCCCCATCTCAATCGCTCAAAATGGGACAGCAAAACATTATTATTTCTCCCCAACATTATACAAATGGAAAAAATAATAATAATTTAAAAAACTAAAGCTAATGGTTACATGTTATAACCTGATGCTTTGTTGTTGAATGGAAGCCGGGCAGGATGGGGTGAGAGGTTTTCTTTTTTGTTTACAAAAATATGGATTTAAATGATTAAGCAAATGACTTGATCGTTGTAAAAACAAAACAAAACAATGATGAATTCATGTTAGGCAACCTAGAGGGTCCTAATCTGGAAATAAGCCCCACAGAACCCAGTAGAGCTACCTCCTGGGTCATTTCCACCAGATCGTACATGAGATAAATGGTTTTATGAGGCTCTTGTATCACCTTTGCATCGTCTCTCTCTGTACCACCACACCACACCATTTCTGGTGATGGGCCTGGAGGGAGAAGGAGCAGGGAAGACAGAGAAAGTGGAGAGCTAAGAATAGAGAGGTCAGGTCACCCATGAAATCGATCTGACAGTAAGGGCAAATGAACTCACCAAGAGGATATCAGCCACGACGGCCCAGTTCAAAGATAAAAGAAATTCTGCGAGGGCAATAAAAATCTGGGAGGAAAAGATATATATTTAACAAGCTGACCAAGAAGAGCCACTTGAGAACTGCTGGTAAATATGCTACACGCCTAGAAGCAAACATGCAGAGAAACAAATGCTACCCATTTATTTTTCCAGAAATTTGGATTGCATGAATATGTGGATAACAGAGACAGGGTGGGAAACACTGAGATTTTCCTCTGACAACCATCAATAGCATTGTAAATGGATTGGCCTCCAGTTCAGAGGAGCCCATGAATTGAGGGGATTCCAGGGAACATTATGCTCTGGGGCCAAACCTGGCCCTCCCTCCGTCCCAGATTGGTTCTGTCTGACTCCCCAGACAGCCACCCTCTCTTTCTCAGGATATTGGGGTACAAGGAAGAATTCCTGACTCCTCCGTTTTACCTTCTGCCCCACCCATTTTCTCGCTTGACCCGTCGGTCGCTTACGTATGTTGTTAGGATGCTGTCCTGAGCCAAGATGATGGCCAGATACATGCACGGCGCTGAGGTGAGCGAGCCCAGGGCACAGATCAGAGGGTCGGCTTTCGCATTAATCTTCTTGTATCTTCGGGCAGCTTCGGCACCAATGACGACCCCCAAAATGCCGGTGGCGATGGTGATTCCTCCAAATATCCGGCTGGGGGGCAAGGGGGAACACAGACACGCAAAAGGATCTTTATCGGCCCGCGTGGCAAGCTATGGAAAGACTGTGAGCCTTCAGAGTTCAGCAGACTACAATACCTATCATTCCCCCCTTTACTGGCCTCCTGGGTGCAACAGAAGGGGGCTGAAGGGGAGGTTATGCTGAAGGGGGGGTTATGGGCACTGTAGTCCAGGGAGCCATGTTTCCAAGCTCAAGCTGTGACGAAACCTCTGGCTGTGGATTTTGGGTTTGTTAATTCAAAAAGAACTTTCTTAAGGGCTGAAGACGCGGAATGGGCGTGATGGGAGCTGTCTGCCACAACACTGTCTGGGATTTGTAGTCCCCAGAAGTTAATTTTCCAAGGCACTGATACAGCGGAAGGATAACTCAGATAGTTCCCCACACATCATGGAAGAATAGGAAGATAATGGCATCCAGTGTGGTATATGTGTCATGGATTAGTACTCTGGAGATGTGGGTGCGAATCCCCGCCTGGCCATGGAAATTCATTGGGGGAGTGAGTAGAACTGGCAACATCGCTCCTTAAAAAGCTCCAAAATCAATATTCCCCATAAACTGAGGAATAGAACGTTCAAAAAAGAAGATGAATTGAGCTGAAAGGTGCTACTGTTGATCTTCCCCAGGCGGTTCATAGGTGTTATCGGTCTAGCCACCTTTGAAGCATGGCTGCCTGTTTGCCAAAACTTTTGGGTTGTCAGGGCCGAAGCATTATGGGAAGGGGCGGCTTCCCATAATGCTTTGGGCTAAAGACCCAGGCCTTCGGCAAGCCGCTGGCGGCACAGGAGCCATGCTTTCACGGTGAAGAGGGAGCTAGGGCAACTCAGAGCAAACCATAGTTGTTCTGCATGCACGCACGCACACACACCCCAACACCACGGATACTGTTTGCCTCCCCTCCCTCCTTGCTTTCTAGGTGGTCCCGTGCAGGATTCGGAAGGGGTTGCAAGCAGCAGGAGAAAGCAGGAACAGAGAGGGCTTTTCCTCCAACATCAAGCTGCTTGTCTTGATGCTCCCTTCAAGGGGGGAAAGAAAGAATCTCACCTCACCTGTTGGCGGTGTTACAAGATTCCTCCTTCTCACACGGAGGTACACTGTGGTGGATGAGTTGAGCTCTGTAGAGGAAGAGCGGGATCCAGAAACCAAGAGCACCGGTGACGAAGCCCATGGTCGTGACGCCCAAGGAGGACCACATAAAGCTCTGGCTGATGGGGAGAAAGAAAGAGATACAGCTGCAGGACTTGCAAAAGGGAAGCGTTCCCCCTAAAGGATTGTTCTCGCTTCTATTAGACCGTGATCCTACAAGCTCTTTGGGACAACTTTAAAGAAAGCAGGTCCCTTGTTGGAAGTTCTTGATTTTGAGACCGAGAACTCGGAAGAAAGGAGAGATGGGTGCAGGCTGCATGATGCTCTTCCAGTGGGGCAGACTTTTGAGCACTGATCATGGTTTCCCCAAAAGGTTGAGATGTACTGCGTTTCTATTTAAAATATCATAATACTTCACAAATGTGTTTCTCCATAAAATAAGGAGGGCGTGATTAAGTTATATTTCAGGGGCAACAGAATGGCTGATATTTAGTAGTACAACTAAGGCAGGCCCACTGAAACAGTGGAGACTTGGTAACTCCTCTGTAAGTTCCATCAGTTCAATGGGACTACTCTAGTTGTGACTTACTCCTGGATTTCAGCCAACAGGTAGGATCACTGCAAATTTACTGGCACAATTAGCAATAGTTTTGCTGTTGCTGTTCTTCTTTTCCTAATTCATATTCAAGGCCGGTGATATCTGTTTTTTTTCAATGTTTATGCCCTTTTCTACTGATCCGAAGGATTTCTTACAGAAACAGAAGGATAAAGAGCAGGGCGAACAAATAATGTTACAAATGGCTTCTTCCGTATTGACATGTGCAATGACAAAGGGCAAACTTTTCAAATAGTAATGGGAACACATTACTTCTTTAAAAACAATTATGTAATTTACAAACCCTGTTCTTACAGGGAGGGGGGGGAGAGAGAGAGACCGGAGCCTTTGGCACCAACCAAGAGGCAATGAAGGAGGGCATGTCATCTGCAAGTCGGAGACACCCTGTGCCAAACAACACAACGCGATTGTTCAATATGGTGCAAATTAACTTTCCCAGCTCATGTCCACAATGTAGCTTGGCTTTGTTGTAGGAAATCTCTTTTATTTTAATTATTCGGATGGCAACTTTCAGCCAGTAAGAAAGACACAATGACAGAGCTTGGAAAATTTACGTTTTTTGGACAACAATTCCCATCTTCCCTTTGTATGTGTTCTGTGCCAACAAGCTGGAACGGACGGACAAAGACCCTGACAGGGTTTTTAAGGTAAGTGAGATAATTAAGGATTTGGTTTTACCGGTTCCACTCCCCCCAGTGAGTTTACACAGCCAAGTGACAATTCGAACCCTGCTCTCCAGAGCCTTCGACTCTTGCTGCACCATACAGGGAATCCACTTCCCCTTACTAAGCATGAAAAGAGACACCTCTGCAGAGCTTGTTGGGGGGGGGAGGAATTCCTTTTTGGGGGTTCCGAGGATCTCCACACAACATGAATGAGACAGACTGATTTTCAGAGCTTGGAAAAAAAAATTCTTTTCGGTGATGACAACTTCCAGAATCCCACCAACCAGCAACTTTTGAAAACAATACCATCATAAAAACAAGGTCCTCCTGACCTCTTGTGGCTACAGGTATTTAAAGTAGCCTTCTCCAGCATGGTGCCCTATTAATATGTCAGACTCTAACTCTTGTAAGACTACAGCCACTGATACTGGGTAAAGAATTAAGGATTTATACGTGCTGCTGTCTGAAGTATCTAGAAGGCACCAGATCGGGATTTTATTTTTTTTATTTTAAATGAGGATGAAAGAATTCTGGAGGTCAGCAGCACCCTCTAGTGCATGCAGAATTAAAACTGCTCCACTACAAGGACACACAAAGTTATAGACAGCAATCCAGGATTAAGTTGCAACTAGAGTAGGCCTGTGGAATCAACGGATCAATACAGAGTAGTTGACTCACCAAATCTTCATTGACTTAATGGGTTTGCTCTAGTTGTGATCGACTGCTGGGGCAACATTTCATAAACAAGAATCCCGTTGATTAAATGCATGGGTGTTACAGACTCAATTCACAGATACACACTGAGGCATACGTGTACACCAAGGGAAAAGGGGAAGACAGTCTCCAAAAACTAACATTTTGAGGCTCACCACACTTTCCATAAGACCTAGAAACTAGAGTTGTGCACCAGTTTCCAGGGAAATCCCAAATTGAAAACTGGGCTCAAATTCCTGATTCGTGGTCCAGGTTGAAGGCGAAGACTAAATTTTAAATTTGGCTCCAGGATGACAAACAGGAAATTTACAAATCAATTCATATCTGGATTTCAGCCCTTGCGGAACACAAATTGAACCTGGTGCACAAACCATCTTAATTTTTTTTTTAAAAAAGCAAATGTTAAAGGTGTTTGGTAGACAAACCCCTGAACATGCATGGCTGAAATTTGGTTCACTCCCCTATTTAGGGGTAGGCATGTCTCCAACGAACATGTAGATCAGTGCAAAAAAGGGGGGGGGGAAAGAAGGCATAAGCACTTCAGTTTTCCAAAGCAAGTCAAGGCACTGACTTGGCAAATTTAAAAATCGATTCAGATCTAGGGCATGAAGCCATTTGGACGCTCTGGATTGAATCAGAACACATTCCAAAGCCCTACATTGGCTCCCAAACTAAATCAGGGGACCCATGCGCAGCCCTACTAGAAACCTGATATGGGAGTAGAAGGGCTACCTTACTTTTTACAGAGGGAGGAGACGTCCTGGAGCCAGGTGGAGGTCTGGTCGTTTTCCTTGGTGGCCGACGGCTTCTTGGTAGCGTGGTCAGCTGATTCCGGAACCAAGAGAATGAGGAGAACCAAGCCCACAATCCCCATACAGGGAGTAACCTATGGAGGGAGAGATGATGGGCTGACATGACAAGATCAAGGATGATTCCAAGGGGCTCTGAAGGGGTGCCATTAAAACTTGAAACGGGTGGCCAGAAGACAGATCTCCGTGTGTTGGAAGGTGTCTGGTGGATTCAAAGTTGAGATACAAGGTTTTCCAACACCCAGAACTTGGAAACTTTACAAAACGTTCTGGACCTTTTTGGTCCAACAAAAAAAAAGGGGGGGGAGTCTTTCCTAGTTCTGCTATCTCCCCTTTGCATAACATGGACTAATGTTGTGTAGTCCTCAAAGACCTTCCCCATTGTCTTCCCACTTGAAAGACAAATGATGGCTGTCACAAATCCTCCAGGAAATGTCGTCTCTTTTAAAGGCAGCAGGTCAGAGGGTTCTGTGTATCTTTGCAAACATAGTTCTTTTAAAGCACAATCCAAACTTTGAAGGAGCTGTCCTGGGTCCTGAAACTAAGCACCCACCCCCTTCTTTCACTTTGGCTGCAATCAACGATGCTAAGGGTCCCTTTTCAGCTCTGCAGTTCTAAGAGGTGCTGAAACTAAGCACACACACCCCTTTCACTTTGGCTGCAATCCACGATGCTAAGGGTCCCTTTTCAGCTCCGCAGTTCTAAGATGATGATAACGGTGAGTAAATGCCTCCCTCCCACCCAGTTTTCAATGACATTGCTGAAAGGAATTAATTTTGGGGTAAACCAAGAGTGGATTTTTTTTGGCACCGAAGAATGGTGAGCTTCACTCCGTTACAGGGCTCAGAAACAACTCCTAAGCATAGATTCTTTAACAGGAACGGCACGTCTTCTGCACCAGGTCCTGCCGTAAGAAACAACCTAAAGACAGGTCAAACTCAATCTTCTTGAACGATGACTCCTAGCTGCAGTTGAAAAAAATAACATTCCCAGCTTCTGATCTGGCAGAGATGGGGAAATTTATTTTTAGGGACCCTCTCCCACCGAATACCCCAGAATCGAGAAGGACAGCTCCCAAAATTCACCCATCAGCATTCACAGTGGCCCAACTCTCTGGTGTGTTTTTTGGGGGGGGGGGAGTTTTTCCCATCTCCGGATCCTGTAAACCAGACAGAGGCATACTTTTATGGCTTCTCTTTCTTGCCGGTGAGCCCGCCTCTTTTAAGACACCCTTTTTCATAATCATATGCGGGGGGGAGGCAGACAGAGGGAGAGAGAAAGGCAGCAGACAGAGACAGAGAGAACTAGCCGTTGGCATGGGTGGTGCAGAATTGTAATCACATTCTATACAACCCTCCTCTTCTGTTAATGGAATTCTTCATCCTCCTCCCATCACAGCTTTCTGAGTCTCCTAACTCACTCTCCACGAAAGGTGTTGTATTCTGGCACCACACTACAAGATATGATAGCTTTTCCCCCCACCCACCCACCCCACCTCTATTTTTTTTTCATTTA